AATTGTTTTTTTTTTTTTTTTTGAGACGGAATCTTGCTCTGTTGCCCAGGCAACCTCCACCTCCCAGTTTCAAGTGATTCTCCTGCCTTAACCCCCTGAGTATCTGGGACTGCAGGCACGTACTACCACGCCTGGCTAATTTTTGTATTTTTAGTAGAGATGGGGTTTCACCGTGTTGGCCGGGCTGGTCTCGAACTCCTGACCTAAAGTGATCCACCTGCCTCGGCCTCCCAAAGTGCTGGGATTGCAGGCACGAGCCACCGTGCTTGGCCCAAACTGGCTTTTAAACCAGGTCAAAGAATGGGTCACAGAGAGGGTGGGGGGATGCCTGGGCCCAGTTTCCTGGGCCCTGTGACCAGGACAGGGACAAGAATTGGGGAGACTCAAACTTTAGCTTCTCAAGGCTGCTTAAAAATGGACACCTGTCAGGGGCCAGGCTTCCATCCCCAGCCTCTGTAACAGGAGTCTCTGGTCCCTACCCCCCTAGTATCCTCATCTGTAAAATGTGGCAATACAACAAAACCTGCCTTTATTGAGCACATATTACATCCCAGGCCAAGGGCTGTCTCTCCATGTGTTGCCTCATTTAACCCTCAGAATATTCTCACCAGGCTGATGTCACTATTATGTCCATTTTATATAGATGAGAAAATGGAGGCACAGAAAAGTTCAGTCACTTGCTTGAGGTCATGCAACAAATGAATGCAGATGCTGAGATTCAAACCCGGAACCTGAATTCTGAGCTTTAACACCACACCAGTAACCCATACAAGGCACTTGACGTCTACAGAGCACTCTCCTCCCTCGGGAGTGGCTGAGGGGAGTCATGAGGTGGCTGAAACACCCAGAAAACCGACATTACCACAAAGAATGACCCTCCAAAGATGTCCACATCTGAATCCCCAGAATCGACACATGCGTTGCTTTATATGGCACATGGGCTTTTGCAGGTGTAATGAAATTGAGGATCTTGAGATAGGAACAGTGTCCTGGATTATTCAAGTGGGCCCAGCATCATCACAGGGTCCTTGGAGGAGGGAGGCAGGAGAGTCAGAGAGGATGTGACAATGGAGAGAGAGAGACTGGAAGATGCACTGATCTGAAGATGAGGGAGGGGCCACAATCCAAGGAATACAGGCCGCCTCTAGAAGCTGGACAAGGCAAAGAAAGAGACCCTCCCCTGCCTCCTCTGGAGGGAACCACTGCTGAGACCTTGATTTTAGCCCAGTAAGTCTAACTTTGGACTTCTCCAGAACTGTAAGAGAATCAATGTCTGTGGTTTTTGTTTGTTTTTTGTTTTTTGAGACAGAGTCTTGCTCTATCACCCAGGCTGGAGTGCAGTGGTGCAGTCTCGGCTCACTGCAACCTCTGCCTCCTGGGTTCAGACAATTCTCCTGTCTCAGCCTCCTGAATAGCTGGGACTACAGGCACTGCCACCACACCCAGCTAATTTCTGTATTTTTAGTACAGACAGCGTTTCACCTTGTTGGTCAGGCTGCTTGAACTCCTGACCTCAGGTGATCCACCCACCTTGGCCTATTAAAGTGCTGGGATTACAAGTGTGAGCCACTGTACCCGGCTAATGTCTGCGGCTTTAAGCCTCTATTAGTGCGGCAATTTGTTACAGCAGCGATAAGAAACAGTTACACTGCATTCAGCAAGCCTGGCTTCCCTGGACAGCGCTGGCTCCACCGTTACCACTGCAGTGCTATGGGAAGCATCCTTACATTTCCTTTGTCTGTTTAGACACAGGGTCATGCCCTGTTGCCCAGAATGAAGTCCAGTGGTGCAATCACCACTCACTGCAGCCTCGACTTCCTGGTTTCAAGCAGTCTTCCCACCTCTGCCTCCCAGCTAGCTTGGACTACAGGCATGCACCAGTATGCCTGGCTAATTTTTTCATTTTTTTATCTTGCCATGTTGCCCAAACTGGTCTCAAACTCCTGGTCCCGCCTGTGCCTCCCAAAGGCCTGGGATTACAGGTGTGAGCCACCACACCTGGCCTACCATTTTTGTTTGTTTGTTTTGAGATGGAGTTTCACTCTTGTCTCCCAGGCTGGAGCGCGGTGGTGCGATCTTGGCTCACTGCAACCTCCACCCTCCAGTTTCAAGCTATTCTCCTGCCTCAGCCTCCCGAGCAGCTGGGATTACAGGCTCCCACCACCACGCCTGACTAATTTTGGTATTTTTAGTAGAGATGGGGTTTCACCATGTTGGCCAGGCTGGTCTCAAACTCCTGACCTGGTGATCCACTTGCCTTGGCCTCCCAAAGTGCTGGGATTACATGCCTGAGTCATGGCGTCCAGCGTGGCCTACCTTTTTTAAATGCTTCTTTAAAGTTCTAATTTGGTCCTCTCTGAACCTCAGTGTCTTTCTTTATTAAAAATGAAAATAGGGCCAATATACATGACTCTACAGGCAGAATGAGAGGGCCTTATGTTACTTGAAGTTTCCACAAACCCCTGGGGCAGATGAAGCCTAGTTATTGTTCCCATTGCTCAGATGAACAAACTAAGGCTGAGAGTAGAAACAGCCTGCCTAGAGCCATGCAGGGAGTAACAGAGCCAGGACTTGAACCAGGGCTGCTGACTTGAGTTCTAGCACAGAGGTTCATGTGTCAGAGCCCGGCTCACATGCCACCTCCTCAGAGAAGCCTGCTTGGAAAACCGCAGCACATTCATGTGTTCACTCATTCCTGAAGCCGCTGTTGGGACTGCCCTGTTCCTAGTGTTGTGTGGGGACCCCTCAGGAGCCCACAGGCTCATAGGACAGACACACAAACCACAGATCCCAGAACAGCCTGATAAATGCTGAAGCCAGGAGAACGAAGCCCAGGGGGTTGCTGGAGCTCAAAAAAAGGGGAAACTGACTGAGCCTGGAGTCAGGGAAGGCTTCTCGGAGGAGTTGCTGATTGAGCTGGGGATAAGTCAGACCCAACAGAAAGGTGGCCAGGCATCCCCTGTGGAGGAGTGGCTTCCTCAGGAGAGGGAATGGGTTGGTCATCCCAGGCCCCCAAGGCCCTCGAGGCCTCTGTGTTATTATGTATGAAATATGAATAGGCCAGGTGTGGTGGCTCATGTCTGTAATCTCAATACTTTAGGAGGCCAAGGCAAGAGGAACACTTGAGCCCAGGAGTTCAAGACCAGCCTGGGCAATATAGCGAGACCCCATGTCTACAAAAAATGTAGCAGGCTTGGCATGGTGGCTCATACCTGTAATCCCAGCACTTTGGGAAGCCGAGGCAGGCGAATCACCTGAAGTTAGGAGTTTGAGATCAGCCTGGCCAACGTGGTGAAACCCTGTTTCTACTAAAAATACAAAAATTAGCTGGGTGTAGTAGCAGGCACCTGTAGTCCCAGCTACTCAGGAGGTTGAGGCAGGAGAATTGCTTGAACCCTGGAGGTGGAGGTTGCAGTGAGCTGAGATTGCACCATTGCACTCCAGTCTGGGCGACAGAGCAAGACTCCATTTCAAATAAATAAATAAATAGTAAAATTAGCTAGGCATGGTGGCATGTACCTGTGGGACATCAAAGCTGAGGTGGGACATCAAGGCTGCAGTGAGCCATGATCACACCACTGCACTCCTGCCTGGGCAACAGAGCAAGTCTCTGTCTCAAAAAAAAAAAAAAGAATCATGGCCTAGCTACCCAGAGCTCTGATACTTGTTAGGCCCAGGCAAGGGCTGAGCCGGAAGAAGAGAGGTCCTGGGACTCCCCAAGGAGGAGGTGAAGGTCAGGAAATAGGGCAGGCCTGGGAAGTGAGGGAGAGGCAGGGTCCTGGCTCAAGCCTCCACCCCACTCTGCCTTTCGGTGTGACTACAGGAAGGCCTTCTCAGAGCCTCAGTGATCCCATCTGAGCAATGGAGCATGAGACAAAACTGTCTCCAAAGACCCTCCCCAGCCCTGACGGGGAAATGACATGACACAAAATTACAAAAGGGTCTTTATTTGTAAAAAGCCAAAGGGGCCCCTGGGGCAACAGGACAGGCAGGCCGGCTTCTCAGGGGTCGGGGGTATTTGGGCAGATGCGCTTGAGTGGGGGGGCGCCCTCCGAGTCCTCTGTGTCACCCTGGGCTGCCTCAGGGACAGGTGGCACTGGCTCAAAGACGGGGTAAGCTTCGGGGGCCTGGAGAGGAAGGGTGGACAGGCATGAGCTCCACCCAACCCAGGCGTCCAGCCTCCGAGCCTCTGCCTTCTCCAAAGCCTCCACTCCCCTCCCCTCCCAGGCGGGGGAGGCAAGCCCAGGGCCAGGTGCCCAGGACGCAGAGAAAGCAGGCACCGAAAACAACAACCACAGCAACACTGTGTGGGGGAACAAACCTGATATTTGATATTTCTGAAAATGCATCAAGGTCGCCCCGTGAGAAATGTCAGAGGTGTAAGAGGGATTTTCTTACGCTAATTTTACAGTTAAGATATTTTTGAAAATGCATGGAGGAGCACCGTGATATTGTCGGGTTTTTTTTTAATTTAATTTTATTTTTGAGACAGAGTTTTGCTTTGTTGCCCAGGCTGGAGTGCAGTGGCATGACCTTGGTTCATTGCAACCTCCACCTCCCAGGTTCAAGCGATTCTCCTGCCTCAGGCCTCCCGAATAGCTGGGACTATAGGCACGTGCCACCACGCCCAGCTAATTTTTTGTATTTTTAGTAGAGACAGGTTTCACTGTGTTAGCCAGGATGGTCTTGAACTCCTGACCTCATGATCCACCTGCCTCAGCCTCCCAAAGTGCTGGGATTACAGGCGTGAGCCACCGCGCCTGGACTTTCAGGCTTTTAATGGTCTCACATCAGCCCTGAGCCAGCCCTGAGCCAGCCCTCAGCACTTTGTCTCTGAAACACCCTTTCTGTTTCAGTCCCAATAATCCAGCCCCTAAACCTTCAGCTTGGTCTCAGGTCTGCCTCTCCTCTGGGGTCTCAAGATGCAGGCTCCAAGCCTTTGCTGCCAAGATCTCCATTCCCTCCAAGACCCAGGATTCCAGCCTTCTGGCCTCTCTCACCTCAGCCTCCAGCAGTTCTGGAACAGGCTCCTCCTTGGTCAGCATCGGGGGTTCATCGGTGCTGCCTGCAGTTATGCCCCCAGGATCTGGAACGTCAAGGTAACAAACATCCCCTGAACAGCCACTCTGTGCCAGCAGCACAGACAGTGGGGGAAACAGACAGTCACAGGCCCTAGTCACAGAAGGCAGAGGGCCAGGGAGTAGAGAGGACAGAGCAGGAAACTGGCTGTGCCCCAGGAAGCAGAGGAGGGAACACTGAGGTGGGAGCTGGAGGGTGAGTAGGGCTTGACAGGGTGGACAGACAGTTTCCTGCCTCTGCAAGGCAGAGGGCCCAAATTCTGACCTTGGGCCAGCTACTTAATGTCTGTGGGCATCAGTTTCCCCATCAATAAAATGAGGGTAATGATAGTAATTACCTCATGCAGCTGTTGTGAGAGTCACATGAGCGGATTCAGGTAAAGCAAAGTGGCTGGCACACAGTAAGTGCTCAATAAATCCTTGCTACCGTTTTTATATTAGCAAAGGTATACAAGTGCTTGGCACTATCTAGACCCAGACCCAGCCTACAGACCCACAGATGGGTTATTTTTTTTTTTTCCGAGACAGAGTCTCACTCTGTCACCTAGGCTGGAGTGCAGTGGTGCGATCTCTACTCACTGCAACCTCCGCCTCCTGGGTTCAAGCGATTCTCCTGCCTCAGCCTCCAGAGTAGCTGGAATACAGGTGCGGTACCATGCCTGGCTAATTTTTTGTATTTTTAGTAGAGATGAGGTTTCACCATGTTGGCCAGGATGGTCTCAATCTCCTGACCTCTTGATCCACCTGCCTCGGCCTCCCAAAGTGCTGGGATTACAGGCATGAGCCACCACGCCTGGCCCCACGTCAGGGTGTTCTTAGCAGAGACCCATGAGGTCAGCAGAAAACAGTTCACAAAAGCCCCAAGTGTCAGGCCAAGGAGTCAAAGGCCACGAGGATCTGAAACAGAAAAATTACTCCATCAAAATGTGCTTCAGAAAACATGGCTCACACCTGTAATCCCAGCATTCTGGGAGGCAGAGGCAGGAAGACTGCTTGAGCCCAGGAGCTAGAGACCAGCCTGGGCAACATAGTAAGACTCTATCTCTATAAAAAATAATAATATTAATTAGCTGAGCGTGGTGATGCATGCCTGTAGCCCCAGCTACTCAGGAGGCTGACTGAACCCAGAAATCCAAGGCTGCAGTGAGCTGTGATCACTCCCCTACACTCCAGCCTGGGCGACAGAGCAAGGCCTTGTCTTGAAAAAAAAAAAAAAAAGCAAAGCTTAAAAAATATTAAGGAAAGGCCGGGCGCAGTGGCTCAAGCCTGTAATCCCAGCACTTCGAGAGGCGGAGGTGGGTGGATCACAAGGTCACCAGATTGAGACCATCCTGGTCAACATGGTGAAACCCCATCTCTACTAAAAATACAAAAAATTTAGCTGGGTATGGTGGCACGTGCCTGTAATCCCAGCTACTCAAGAGGCTGAAGCAGGAGAATTGCCTGAACCCAGGAGGCGGAGGTTGCGGTGAGCCGAGATCGCACCATTGCACTCCGGCCTGGGTAACAAGAGCGAAACTCTATCTCAAAAAAAAAAAAAAAAAAAAAAAAATATATATATATATATATATATATATTAAGGAGAAAGTTGTTCTGGCAGCTGTGTGGAGGTGACTTGAAGAGACCAGCTGGAACCAAGAACCAGTGAGAGATGGGAAGGTCAGGGCCAGTTAAGGGCCTGGGAGGAAAAGGTGCCAACCAACCGGTTTGACTGCATGGAAGAAAGCAGAGCTCAACCAGGCGCGGTGGCTCACGCCTGTAATCCAGGCGCGGTGGCTCACGCCTGTAATCCCAGCGCTAGGGGAGGCTGAGGCGGGGAGATCACAAGGTCAGGAGTTAAAGACCAGCCTGGTCAATGTGGTAAAACCCTGTCTCTACTAAAAACTACAAAAATTAGCCAGGTATGGTGGCAGGTGCCTGTAATTCCAGCTACTCAGGAGACTGAGGCAGAAGAATTGCTTGAACCCAGGCAGCAAAAGTTGCAGTGAGCCGAGATCATGCCACTGCATTCCAGCCTGGGCAACAGAGTGAGACTCCATCTCAAAAAGAAAGAAAGAAAGAAAAGCAGAGCTGGCTGGGTACAGTGGCTCACACCTGTAACCTCAGCTCTTTGGGAGGCCTAGGTGGGCAGATGGTGAGGTCAGGAGTTTGAGACCAGCCTGACCAACATGGTGAAACTCCATTTCTACTAAAAATACAAAAATTAGCTGGGCATGGAGGTGCACACCTGTAATCCCAGCTACTCAGGAGGCGAGGCAGGAGAATTGCTTGAACTGGGGAGGCGGAGGTTGCAGTGAGCCAAGATTGCGCCACTGCAGTCCAGCCTGGGCCACAGAGTGAGACTCCATAGCAAAAAAAAAAAAATGGAAAGCAGAGCTGAGGAGGACACTAGGCCCAAGATGCTGGCTTACTGGCTGAGTTGTTTCTCTGGGTCTCAGCTTCCTCATCTATAAGTAGGGATCATAACAGGATTATCACCTTTATAAGGTTGTAGTGAAAACTAAATGAAAATAAAAACGTGAAGTGTTGGCTGGGTGCCGTGGCTCACGCCTGTAATCCTAGCACTTTGGGAGACCAAGACGAGCAGATCACCTGAGGTCAGGAGTTCAAGACCACCCTGGCCAACATGGTGAAACCCCATCTCTACTAAAAATACAAAATTAGCCAAGTATCGTGGTGCATGCCTGTATTCCCAGCTACTCGGGAGGCTGAGGCAGGAGAGCTGTCTGAACCTGGAGGTGGAGGTTGCAGTGAGCCAAGACTGTGTGATTGCACTGCAGCCTGGGCAAGAGTAAAGCTCTGTCTCGAAGAAAAAAAACCAAACAACTACAGAAAGTGTGGCACACAGTAAGAGCTCAATACATACCAGCTGTTGTTACTCCTATTATTAATCACCCCTATGACTATCACTATTATTTATTCACTTAACAAATAAATATTTACTGAGCACCTACTATGTTCTGAGGATACAGTAGTGAACAAGATCAACATAGGGCCAGGCACAGTGGCTCACATCTATAATCTCAGCACCTTGGGAGGCTGAAGCAGGAGGATCATTTCAGGCTAGGAGTTCGGAACCAACCTTGGCAACATAGCAAGACCCTATCTCTATAAAAAATGTAAGAATTAGCTGGGCATGGTGGCACATACCTGTAGTCCCAGCTACTTGGGAGGCTGGGGCCAGAGAATCCCTTGAGCTCAGGAGTTTGAGGCTGCAGTGAGTTAGACTGCAGCAGTACACTCCAGCCTGGGTGACAGAGACCTTGTCCCCTGCCCCCCCACAAAAAGGAGGCCGGGTGTGGGTATGGTGGCTCACACCTGTAATCCTAGAACTTTGGGAAGCTGAAGCTAGAGGACTGCTTGAGCACAGGAGTTTGAGACCACTCTGGGCAACATGGCGAAACCTTGCCTCTACAAAAAATATAAAAATTAGCCAGGTGTCATGGCATATGCCTGTGGTCCCAGCTACCTGGGAGGCTGAGGCAGGAGGATCGCTTGAACTCAGGAGTTCAAGGCTGCAGTGAGCTATGATCACCACACCACTATACTACTCCAGCCTGGGTGACAGAGCGAGACATTGTCTCAAAAAAAAAAAAAAAAAGGATCAATATGGGTCCACCATTCAGGAAACTGACATGAGATGAGAGTGAGGAGAAAGACAAACTAGTAAAACATTAATTTACATTAAAATCTCAGACAGTGTTATGTCATCTATAGATCCTAAGAGGCCAGAGGAATGAGACAGCAGCTACAGGGAGATTCTGCAGGAGTCAGAAGGCTCCGTAAGGAGGGCACACAGGGTGGGGAGCAGGTATAGGGATAAGCTGGTCAGTTAGACTGTGGAGAAGACAGGACTTAGAGGAGAGGGCTCCTGGGAGGTACCTGGTCCTACCTCTCTCTTGGCCCAGCCGTGGGGGCTGAACCTCCTCAGGGACCCCTTCTGGGGGTCCCGCAGGTGACACGGGGCGGCTGGGCTGGGGGGTGCCCCCAGGACTGGGCTCTGTGCCCTTTTGCAGGGAACCTTCCGAATGGAAACTCTGGTTGCTGCTCTCATCTGCGGGAGCAAGAGCCGAGATGGTTGGCCTGAGGTCCCCAGTACTCTCCTTCAGTCCCCACAGCCCCCCACGTTCCAGGATCCCTACCTACCATTAAGATCCAGCAGGATGAGAGGGCCACCCCCTCGAGGACTGGCGCCCCTGCCTCGACGTTCCCGGCCACGGGATCTCTCTGCCCCGCCGCCTGCCCGCCTTCGCTCCTGGGGGTTAGAGGATTAGGGTCAGAGCTCTTGCAAAGCCCCACCATACACATAAGGAAACTGAGGCACTCAGAAGCAAAAGGGCTTGAACTCAGGGGGTGTGGAGCAGAAAAGAGGGAAAACGGGGAGGAGCTGCTAATGATGGTTCCCATCTGCGATGCTGCCTCTGAGGTCTCAGGGGAAGCTAGAGGTAGAGGCCAGGGTGGGAAGGGGCTCGCCCGAGGTTGCACAGATGCAGGGCCTTGCGGGAACGGCGGTTGCTCACCTCCTCCTGGGGGTCCACCACTGGCACCCACTTGAAGATACGAAGGGAAGTGTCGCCCACAGTCACCCAACGCTTCTCCCTGTGGGAGGGTGGGGGGCTGGGTCAGAGAGGCCTGAGGGGAGACCTACCCCCCCAGGAGCCAGGCACATCTGGGGGTACCTGCAGAGGTTGGGGAGGCACAGGAGGGTAGCAACAGTTTTGCTAATGGGGCATAGTTACAAGGAGAAAGAGAGCCCTGCAAACCCCAAAGCAGAGGCCGTGGGTGCCTGCAGAGAGAATACGATTTGGGGTCCTGGCTCTGCGGACCCCTGGGGCACACATGGGGGGGCGTGGCTATGGGCCTGGGCCGGGATCAGAGCCCTGAAGATCCGGGGGCGCACTTGCAGAAGGAGTGTCAAAGCTTTAGGGGGCGGGGCACAAACGGGGGCTCCTGCTCTAGGAGGGCACGGCTGGGGACCACGCTTTGTAGACCTCCAGGAGTAGCCAGGGGAACAGAGACAGAGCCCTGTGGATCCAGGGCAAAGCCAGTGGGCGGGGGTACACCGAACACCCGGGGCCCAGAGCTGGCGAGGGCAGCGTAGACGCCTTTGGTGGCGGTGGTCCCGCCGTGTCCCATCCTTGGCCCCCGGGCAGCGCTCACCATCTCCGGACCTTCTCGATGGTCGCCATCACCTTCTTGATGTCATCCTTGGCCCGGCTCCGGGTTTCGGCCCGTACGGTCCGGCCGGCCATGCTGGCGGGGCTGGAGCCGGGGCCGAGCCCGCGGCGGGGCCGCCTCGCGTCCGGCGGGCTCAGGCTCCGCGCCAGGCCCGGGCGCCGCGCTCTCGGCCTGCCGTCCCCCTGGGAGTTGGGCGCGCCCTCTCTGGTCCCCAACGCCTCCGCGAGTCCCCGCCCGTTTCCTGCCGCCGCGCCCCGCCCCGGCCCGTCCCCGGAGCGGCCCGGTGGCGCGGGCGGCCAGAACCCAGGCCTGGAAGCCCGGCCGGCCCCGCCCCGACCCGGGCCCTCCCCCTCGGAGCGCCTGGACGCGCAGCGCCCCCTGCCCGCCGCCGAGTGCCGGAGTTGGGAACGGCTCGGCGACCGGACGCGCGCGGCAGGACCGAGGCCGTGCGTTCAGACCACGTGGGCGCGGAGTGCGCGAGAGGGTCTGTGTCCTAGGCTGGGGCGCCGCGGTGGATGTCCGCGAAACGCTGTGTGTGGAGTGCGTGCGTGTGTCCGCCCTCGCCAGGCTCTCGGTCTACACCGCCCAACTTACTCATTCATCCATTCATTCAACAGCCCTGTTAACTGAATGCCAATTACGCGCCAGGCGCTGCGAATACGAGTTCTCCACCCACCAGAATGGCTAAAGTGAAAAAGACCGTCACACCATGTGGAGGCGAGAAACTAGAGCGACTGGACCTCTCATGTATTTCTGGGGGAGTGTAAATTGGTGGAGACATTTTGGAAACTGGCAGTTTTCTAATGAAACCGAACATATGCCACCCGTGTGATCCAGCAATTCCACTCCCTAGGCTGTCAACACCCAGCAAAAATGCGGAGGCGTGAGCACCAAGAGGGTGCATGGGAACGTTCAGAGTCCTTTCATAGCAGCCCCAAACTGGAAATAACCCATCAACAGAATGGAAAATGAATGACGCCTTACTCATTACCATGCACATAGACACAGCAACTGGAGCGATATGCCCGCTACACCCAGCAACATAGACAAGTCGCATGACGAAATCTTGAGTGAGAGAAGCCAAATACAACAGTACATACTAGATGGTTCCATGTGTATGATATTCTGAACCAGAGAAAACTAATATATAGTGCACCAAAGTCAAGATAGTGGTCACCCTTAGGACTGGGAGGGGACGAAGGGGGAGTCTTCTGAGAGCTGATCCGGTTAAGTTTTGTAATCTGGTGCTGGTTCCCTGGGCATATGTACTCTGAAAGTCCATCACATGACTTAAATAAAATGTACATTTGTCTTGGTTGACTTTATTTGAGGCTGGCTTGTCAGCAGATAAGACCACTTTAAAATTTGTGGCTGTGTGTGTGTGTGTGTGTTTCAAGGTGTGGCTGTTGTGTCTGTGAGTTTTGGTGTGACCATGTCCAGAGGTTAAGGGCATAAGGTGTTAGGAGCATGGTTAGGACAGCATTTTTTGAGTCAAGCTGCTTAGGTAAAATCCCAGCTGTGCCACACCCAACTGTGTTACCCTGGACAAGTCACTTATCTCTGTTCCTCATCTATAACATAGGAGTAAGTTAATGTGTGTATAGCTCTTAGGACAGTGCCCAGCACATAATAAATGCCCAATATTTACAGTGAATACACATGTGATTGTGGGCCCTACCAATCGTCTGGCTCAATTGCACCTGCTATGCGCTCTCCAGTTAAACTCTTTCTTTCTTTATTCCAGCAATTGTCTGCTCAGGCAACACACACACCCACTCACAGGAGCACACTCATACACATGCACGCGAACACGCGCACCATCGCACACTTACACGCAAGCACAGACGCACGCGCGCGCACACACACGGGCCTCCTCCAAGCCCTTCACTCACAAACTCCATTAACTGCTGTTGTCTATGGGCTTCCCCGACAGATCGCAAGCCCCTCAGGGGGCCAGAAACCAAGTACGGATCATCCTTATGTGCCTTCCTTTCAGTTTACACCGGTTAATGGGGTTGATGCGCGGATGTGACCGCCTGTCCAGGTCTCTGAAGCTTGTTCTCCTAGGAGTGTGTGTGTGTGTGTGTGTGTGTGTGTGTCTGTGTGTGAGAATCTCCAGGATTCTGTTACTAGGCCTGATAAGAAGGGGTGAGCCGTGTATCTGCCTCCCTCCTAGTGGATGTGACAGTGAGATTAGAAGCCATCTAAGACAGACCAGGAGATGTATGTCTGGACTAGCGCGCTCCAAGCCTGAGGGCCCCTATAGTGGCCTCTCTGGCAAGCCGCACCCCAGATCAGAGAGAGGGCCAGCGCATTCCCGTCCTGCCAGCTCCGCAGTTCTCTCTCCTGTCTCCTCAGCTTTCCCCTCAAAGCAGCCCCTGCCTCAGGTCCTAGCCTGAGCCGGGAGCAGGACACTGGGCTGCCTCCCAGGCCCCGACACCCCCAGCCCGGAGGTCCTGTCCACTAGGCGGACAACTTGCCTCCCACCTCGGGTCCCTTCCCCCACTCGGCCCCACGGGCGAGGAGCTGAGCTCAGGGCCAAGGAATCCTGTCTGAAAAGGGGGGGTAGGGCGAAATGTTTGGGGTCTGGGCTCTGATTGGTTGCGGCCGGGCCACGCCCCCAGCCCTTTCCCCTTTCTCCCCCCCTCCAAGGGGGGCGTGGAGGGAGCCGGGATCAGCCAGGGGCCAGCATGAGCCGGAGGGAGGGAAGTCTGGGTAAGGGGCTGAGGGACCGGATGCCGGGTCGCTGAGGGTCGCAGGAGTCAGAGGGGTTGGAAGCTAGGGGTCTGGGTCTCGGCCACCCCAGGGTCCGGGAGGGGAGCGGCCTGGGCGGGGAATAGCAGGGCTCGGGTATCAGGTAACGAGCGAGCGGGTGAGTTATGAGAAGCGGCAGGCGCTAGGATTTAGAGGAGGCCTGGAGCTGAGGCTTTAGGGACTTAGGCTTAGGACTTAGATCACCAGTTCGAGCACACCCAGGGGGAGGACTGGGGTCGGGGCTGGGGAAGGACCCCTGAGTCCACTGAGTCTCGGGAAAGAATCAGAGCTGGGGGGCTGGAGGAAAGGGTAGAGTAAGGGAAGGCAGTCTTGGAGTTACAGGAAGCAGTGAGTGACAAGAGGAGACGAAAGTCTGGATTGCTGAGGATCGCGACTGGTGCTAGGAAACTCCGGAGGGGGCGGGGCGGGGCGCCGGGTCAGGACTACATTCCCCAGCACGCATCAGGTGCGCGCTGTGCGTATCGGGACCTGGAGTCCATCCCGGGGTGTCAGACTGGCTCTTTCGGACCTTGACTGACTGCCCACCTTAGCTTCTTGTTTGGAAGGGGCATCAGAGAGAGAAATGGAAATAGACGTCAGTCCCCCTATCTGTCAAATGGGCCTTCAAGGCACATTCCGATGTGAAGTTCTGTGCTTCGATGATGTTGAAGTCCATTAACAGTCACTGAGGTAGAAATATGTAAGCTCTGTCCCCAAAGAGCTCCCAGGCTAAGGCAAATACACACAGAAAAGAACCATTAAATGAGCTACTCTGGAGCTCATTTAAATGGCCTTAAGTCGAAGGAAGGAGTTCATTTAAAAAGGAGGGGTGATTCTGGAGGCTGCACTGAGGAGGCAGCACAGTCATGCACTGCATAACAACATTTGGTCAACAGAGGCCGGGCGCGGTGGCTCAAGCCTGTAATCCCAGCACTTTGGGAGGCCGAGGCGGGTGGATCACGAGGTCAACAAATCGAGACCATCCTGGTCAACATGGTGAAACCCCGTCTCTACTAAAAAAATTACAAAAAATTAGCTGGGCATGGTGGCGCGTGCCTGTAATCCCAGCTACTCAGGAGGCTGAGGCAGGAGAATTGCCTGAACCCAGGGGGCGGAGGTTGCGGTGAGCCGAGATTGCGCCATTGCACTCCAGCCTGGGTAACAAGAGCGAAACTCCGTCTCAAAAAAAAAAAAAACATTTGGTCAACAGATGGACCGCACAGACAATGGCGGTCTCATAAGATTATATGCATTTTTAGCCTTGGAAACATGGTGAAACCCCGTCTCTACAGAAAATACAAAAATTAACCGGGCGTGGTGGCGCCTGCCTGTAATCCCAACTACACAGGAGACTGAGGAGGGAGGATCACTTGAGACCAGGAGGTTGAGACTGCAGTGAGCCGAGATCTCACCACTGCACCCCAGCCTGGGCGACAGAGCGAGACCCCGGCCACCTCTCGCCTCTTTCTATATAAATATATAATTTTATATATTATATATTTATCTCATTCTATCTATCTCTCTATATCTAGATCTATATTTGTTTGTTGTTTTGTGTGTATGTGTGTGTATGGTTTTTTTTTTTTTTTTTGAGACAGAGTCTCACTCTGTCGCCCAGGCTGGAGTGCAGTGGCACGATCTCGGCTCACTGCAACCTCTGCCTCCTGGGTTCAAGTGATCCACCCGAGTAGCTGGGATTCCAGGCTCCCGCCACCACACCTGGCTAATTTATGTGTGTGTGTGTGTGTGTGTGTGTGTGTGTGTATTTCTTTTTCTTTTTCTTTTTTTTTTTTAGTAGAGATGGGGTTTCACCATGTTGGGCAGACTGGTCTCGAACTCCTGACCTCAGGTGATCCGCCTGCCTTGGCCTTCTAAAGTGCTGGGATTACAGGTGTGAGCCACCGTGCCTGGCCTGTTTGTTTTGAGACAAGTCTGGCTCTGTTGCCCAGGCTGGAATGCAGTAGTGCACCCTTGGCTTACTGCAACCTCTACCTCCCTGGTTCAAGCGATTCTCCTGCCTCAGCCTCCCGAGTACCAGGAATTACAGGTGCATGCCACCATGTACAGCTAATTTTTTTTTTTCTTTTTCTTTTTTTCTGAAATGGAGTCCCGCTCTGTTGCCAGGATGGAGTGCAGTGGCACGATCTTGGCTCATTGCAACCTTTGCCTCCTGGGTTCAAGCGATTCTCCTGCCTCAGCCTCCTGAGTAGCTGGAACTACAGGCACATGCCACCACACCCAGCTAATTTTTTTGTATTTTTGGTAGAGACCGGCTTTCACCATGTTGTCCAGGAAGGTCTGAATCTCGACCTCATGATCCGCCCATCTCACCCTCCCAAAGTGCTGGGATTACAGGTGTGAACCATGGTGCCCTGCCAATTTTTTTTTTTTTTAGATGAAGTTTCACTGTCTCACCTGATCTCAGCTCACTGCAATCTCTGTCTCTCAGGTTCAAGTGATTCTCATGCCTCAGCCTCCCAAGTAGCTGGGATTACAGGCACATGCCACCACACCTGGCTAATTTTTGTATTTTTAGTAGAGACAAGATTTCACCAGGCTGATCTCAAACCCCTGACCTCAAGTGATCTGCCTGCCTCAGCCTCCCAAAGTGCTGGAATTACAGGTGTGAGCCACCACACCCAATGGCTGGCTATTATTTGTACAGATGGGGTTTCACCATGTTGGCCAGGCTGGTCTTAAACTCCTGACCTCAAGTGATCTGCCCACCTCAGCCTCCCAAAGCGCTGGGATTACAGGTGTGAGCCACCACGCCCAACTGATACATATTATATCTAATAAAAATACATAGATATATGTATTTTAACTATAGATTTTCTATGTTTTTATTTATTCATTTATTTAGAGATAGGGTCTTACTCTGTTGCCCAGGCTGGAGTGCAGTGACACCCTTACAGCTCACTGCAGCCTTGACCTCCCTGGGCTCAAGTGATCCTCTCACTTCAGCCTGTCAAGTAGCTAGGACTACAGGCGTCTGCCATCATGCCCAGCTTGTTTTGTAGTTTCTGTAAAGACAGGGTTTCACCATGTCACCCAGGCTGGTCTCAAACTCCTGGGCTCAAACAATCAGCCTGAAGTTGGCCTCCCAAAGTGCTGGGATTACAGATGTCAGCCTCCTCACTCAGCCCTTTTCTATGTTTAGATACACAAATACCACTGTGTTCCAGTTGCCTGCTGTACAGTAACATGCTGTCCAGGTTTGCCTCCTAAGAACCATTGACTGTACGCCACATAGCGTGGGCATGGAGCAGGCTGTACCATCTAGGTTTGCATAAGTGCACTCTGTGATGTCTGCAACATGATGAAGTCATCTAAGGATGCATTTGTCAGAATGTATTCCCGTTGTTAAGCATGACTGTCTTTGAATTTGGCTTTACTAGGATTTCAACAGTGATTGGGGATAGGCAATACATTTCAGGTAGACCACCCACTTGACAAAGGTCTGGTGCCTCATTTTCCCTCAGTTGGAATGGGACAGACCCTGATGGGGTCAGGAAGGAAGAGATGATCTGGGAGAGGTGATCAAGGAGCAGGGGCTTGGGCCATCCTCACTCCTCCCCACTTTCCCACCAGAAGCCCCCCAGGCTGACTCCTCAGTCTCACTCCTTCCCCACTTGGAGGCCAAGATCCGTCAGACACACAGCCTCGCGCACCTCCTCACCAAATATGCTGAGCAGCTGCTCCAGGAATATGTGAGTGGGAATGGGGGTGGGGTGCCAGGGGCCTGGGGAATGGGAGCAGACATCACAGAGGTCCTCGGTCACCCATTCTCTCAACCTCATTTTCCAGCTGTGGAAATGAGAGCTCCTGAGAGGGACAGCAACTTGCCCCTGGCCACACAGCAAATTGGAAGAGGCCTGTCTGTGACCCAGATGCCATAATGTCCTCTCCAGCTTGGAGGCACCCTCATCGGTGCTTTCTTTTTGAGACAAGGCCTCGTTCTGTCACCCAGGCTGGAGTGCAGTGGTGCCATCACGGCCCACTGCAGCCTCAACCTCCTGGGCTCAAGACATCCTCCTGCCTTAGCTTCTCAAGTAGGTGGGACCACAGGCATGCACCGCCATACCTGGGTAATTTTTTAAATTATTTTGTAGACACAGGGTCTCGCTATATGGCCCAGGCTGGTCTTGAACTCCTGGGCTCAAGCGACCTTGGTGCTTTAAGTCAGAGGTAGCCTAGAGCAGTGAAGACAACTCTGGTCTGTACCTCAGGAAACCAAGGTTCTAGGCTCTGTGTGGTCTTGGGCCTTGGTCTCTCCCCAGCAGTGAAAGGAGGTAGCTAAACAAGATGAACCGTGAACTCTTCCAGCTGGGATATTCAGGGAGGCCAAGAAGAGATTCCAATCTGGAGCAACAATTCTATCCCAAGAGGGCACTTTTACAGAAGACAGGGATCAGCTGACATCTTTGGTTAGGCAGAGGGCCCTGCCCATGGAAAGAAGACTGTAGGCCTGCCAACTTGTTAACTGTGAGCTTGGGCAGTAACAATAACATTAAAATAATGTAACAATACGGCAGCGAATAGTAGCATAACAGAACTAGCTTTGGGCTGGGTGCATTGGCTCATGCCTGTAATCCCAGTGCTTTAGGAGGCTCAGGCAGGAGGATTGCTTGAGCCCAGGAATTCAAGACCAGCCTGGGTAACATAGTGAGCCCTCATCTCTTAAAAAAAAAAAGAAAAGAAAAGAAAGAAAGAAAAGAAAAGAAAAAATTAGCCAGGCATGGTGGTACACGCCTGTGGTTCCAGCTATTCAGGCTGAGTGGGGAGGATTGCTTGAGACCTGGAGGCTGTGTGATCAAACCATTGCTCTCCACCCCTAGTGACAGTGTGAGACCCTGTCTATTTAAAACAAGCAAACAAACAAAACTAGCTTTGTAGTGCTACAAACTTTGGTTCAAATTCCAGCTCTGCCACTTCTTAGGGTAAGTCACCGTATCTCCAGCCCAACTTTTTTTTGAAACAGAGTTTTGCTTTTGTAGTCCAGGTTGGAGTGCAATGGTGCATCTCAGTTTACTGCAACCTCTGCCTCTGGGGTTTAAGAGATTCTTCTGCCTCAGCCTCCCAAGTAGCTGGGATTACAGGCACCCGTCACCATGTCAGGCTAATTTTGGTATTTTTAGTAGAGATGGGGTTTCGCCAAGTTGACCAGGCTGGTCTCGAACTCATGACCTCTGGTGATCTGCCCACCTCGGCCTCCCAAAGTGCTGGGATTATACGGGTGAGCTACCACACCCAGCCCCACCTTTATCTTTCATTTGTTCATTCATATGATATTGATCCATTAAGCTCCTGCTCAATGCAGGTACAGACGTTGGGGAGGATAGGGAATGGAATGAAGCCCCCTTGGCCCCTGGACTATCTCATATAATTCCCATGAAGACAGGACAGGAAGCTTCCCCATTCATTGTACAGATGAGAAGACTGAGGCACAGAGAAGGGGAAGTAAGTGGTTTTGCCCCAAACTGCACAGCTAGTAAGTGGTAGAGAGAGGATTTGAATTCTGGACTATAAGGTAATATTAATAAAAGAGCTGACATTTTTATTGAACTCTTCCTGGGGCCAGCTCCTGTGTGGAACACTTAACATGGTCATAACTGCCTTAGGAAGTTGCTCCTGTTAATAGGTCCTATTTATTTATTTATTGAGACAGGGTCTGACTGTCACGCAGGCTGGAGGGCAGTGATGCTATTATGGCTCACTGAAGCCTTGACCTCCTGGGCTCAAGCAATCCTCCCACCTTAGCCTCAACCTCCGGAATAGCTGGACTACAGGCATCCGCCACCACGCCCGCTTTTTTTTTTAGCAAGACACGGCGGGGGTGTCTTGCTATGTTGCACAGGCTGGTCTCGAACCCCTGGCCTCTAGTGATCCTCTCACCTTGGCTTCCAAAGTGCTGGCCTAAACTGGCATAGCCTGGGTCCAGTTTAGGGAGGAAGAAACTGGCATTGGTGTCAAGAGCATGCCACTTTGTTTTGCCCTAAACAGAGCAGCTCTGTTAGGAGGGGTTATCATCTGCAAGATGAGGAAACTGAGGCCACCAGAGAGCGGGTGGGGAGCCCAGTTAGTCCCTCGCCCGTGCTCCGGGGCCTGCTGACCCGCCGGCTGTGTCTCCACAGGTGCAGCTCCAGGGAGACCCCTTCGGGCTGCCCGGCTTCTCCCCGCCGCGGTTGCCCGTAGCCGGCCTGAGCGCCCCGGCTCCGAGCCACGCGGGGCTGCCGGTGCACGAGCGGCTGCGGCTGGATGCGGCGGCGCTGGCCGCGCTGCCCCCGCTGCTGGATGCCGTGCGCCGCCGCCAGGCCGAGCTGAACCCGCGCGCGCCGCGCCTGCTGCGCCGCCTGGAGGACGCGGCGCGCCAGGCCCGGGCCCTGGGCGCCGCAGTGGAGGCCCTGCTGGCCGCGCTGGGTGCCGCCAACCGCGGACCCCGGGCCGAGCCCCCCGCAGCCGCCGCCGCCGCCACCTCCGCCTCCGCCGCCTCCGGGGTCTTCCCAGCCAAGGTGCTGGGGCTCCGCGTGTGCGGCCTCTACCGCGAGTGGCTGAGCCGCACTGAGGGCGACTTGGGCCAGCTGCTACCCGGGGGCCCGGCCTAAGCGCGGCGGGGCAGTTCGCGCCTCCTGCTCCCTCCGGGCTCCGTCTCTCTCTCCGCTTTTGTCTCTCTCTGCCGCTGTCGTCTGTCTGCTCTCCGCTGTCTCCATTGCTCGGCCTTCTTTGCTTTTTGTTGGGGTAGGGGGGAAGGGGAGGGGACGGGCAGGGTCTGTCTGTCGCCGAGGCTGGAGTGCGGTGGTGCCATCCCAGCACTGCAGCCTCAACCTCCTGAGCTCAAGCCATCCTCCCGCCTCAGCCTCCCCAGCAGCTGGGACTATAGACACACGACCACAGCCGGCTCTTTTATTTTAAGTTTTGTAGAGCTGAGGTCTCGCGATGTTGCCCAGGCTGGTCTTGAACTCCTGGGCTCAAGCGATCCTCCCGTTCCAGCATCCTCAAGTGCTGGGATTGCAGGCGTGAGCCACCGCCGTGGCCTCTTTATGCTTTGCCTCCCCCGTTCTCTTAATTCTCGAGCCCTCCTAGTCTCTGTGGTAACTCCGTCTGGGTCTACCGTTTTCTCGCTCTCCCTCCTTCCTCTGCATCCTTGGGCCTACCTCTGTCTCCTTTGGCCTCCCCCTTTACCCAGCTGTGGGGGGTCTCTGTCTTTCTCCATCCCCACCTCCTCTCTCCCGTGGCTCTGTGTGAGTGCCTGTGAACATCTCAGCCTCATCTCAAGGAGGTGACACCTTGTCTCCTGTCCCCCTCTAGCCGTCTCTCTGTGCTTTCCTGGCCACAGGTGTGCCTGCTGGTCCTGTAGGGGGAAGGCTACTCTGCCTCTCAGCCACTTTCTGCAGGCTCACTCCACCCATATCCTCAGTGTCCCACACCCCATCCCTTTGGGCCTCAGCCTGGTCCCTTTGATGTCTTCCCTTCCTTCAGCCCCTCTGCCCTATTCCTGCACACCTCCACCTTCTCCCATCAGATCTGTGGAGACAAAACAAACAACACCTTAAAAGAGTTTTATTTCTGAAAAATAAATTAATTTTTTGTAAATAAAATGTTTAAAAATAAAAAGGAAACTAAAGTTACCTGCATATATAATTGTTGGAAATGGGGAGACAGCTTTAGGGAGAAAAGAACCCTTGGGTTGCAGCCTGGTCCCCCAGGCATGCCCAAGCCCAGTATAAATAGGAGGTTGACAGTCCCAAGGCAGCGGTGCCCTCTGCCAGCCCAGAACTGGAAATGGATGTGTCCCAACAGGAAACAGATGTGATGCAGTCCTTCGTTCTTCAAGAATTGGGCTTCCATGGATCAGGAAGTGGAGCCCCTTGAGGACAGGAAGTGAAATAGTAGCCCAAAAGGGCCTCAGAGAGGGGAGCCAATGAACTTCAGCAGGAAGAAGGGAGGCCTATCTACTCAGAAAGGCGGGATCTTCATAGAGGAAATGAGGTAGACGGAGACAGGAAGGCAGTCCTGACCTCCCCAGAATTACCAAAAGGAGAAGGTCTCAGGGAGAGCCCAGGAAGGGGACCAACTGTCCTCTCCCTGTAGGGTGGCAGGTGAAATCTCTTTGGAGAGGCACGTCTTTCCAACCAGGAAGTGGACCCGAGTACCACTGGATGGGTAGCCCATGGAACGATATCCATGGAGATTGACCCAGACCTGGAAAGCAAGCCAGAGGACCTGGGCAGGAAGGCCCCTGAAATAAGGAATTGAGGCCTGGCTTCCAGGAAACATTCCCAGACATGGCACCCAAGCCCTGTCTGCTAGACAAGCTGTATCTCCTTTTCTAGCCCACAAGCAAGGCAGAAAAGAGGCCATTATGAAACAGGAAGTGCTGAAGCCTCTGACAGGAAGTCCTGCCCCTCTATGCTGGGTACTTGGCCTTGAGCAGAGCCAAGTCCCTCACAGCACGGTCTGTCCAGTGGCCATATTCCCGGGTAACCACGTAGCCTCGACATTTCCTCTCAAAGGCTGAGGCCCCAAAGGCAACAAGCCCGAGAGTATCCTCTTCTGGGGGGATCGGCAGCCCCAGGGCCATCATGATGGCGGCCATGTTGCCCAGCAGGCCTTGGGCCCTGAGTCTCGCAGCCCCGAGCTGAGCCAGCAGGATGGGACTGCCAGGGTTCAGGTCGCTCTGGTCATCCCCCACGAGCTGGAGGTGCTGGGTCAAGGCCAGGAAGGCCCCCTGGGCAAGGCTCAGCCGTTCTCCATCATCCAGGGCGTGCCAGGTCTTGAAGAAGGCCGTGGCAGGAGGCAGGCTGCTGAGCTGGAGCTCAGGGGCTGAGAAGCCAGGGTCACTAAAAGGGCTGCCCTGGTACCGGAGCTGCAGGAGGGACAGAGACAGACAGGAGTAAGGAGACCAGAGCGGTGCCTGGGGCTCTGACTTCATGCCTGGCTTCTTCCCAGAAGTCACCACTTGCTGTGTCTCAGGATGTCCTGACACAGGGCAAGGGCCCTAGGAGGCTCAGGCATGTCATCCTGTGCATGCTAGCTTTGCAACGTGGAGTCACAAGCTTCAGGAATTCCCACCTGGCAGTATTATTATGAAGATGATAGGAAATCATATATATAAAGGACTTAGCAGGCTGGGCATGGTGGCTCACGCCTGTAATCCCAGCACTTTGGGAGGCTGAGAGGGCAGATCACTTGAGGTCAGGAGTTCAAGACCAGCCTGGTTAACATGGCAAGAATCTGTCTCTAAAATACAAAAATTAGCCAGGTGTGGTGGTGCATGCCTGTTATCACAGCTACTTGGGAGGCTGAGGCACGAGAATTGCCTGAACCCAGGAGCAGAGGTTGCAATGAGCTGAGATTACATTACTGCACTCCAGCCTGGGTGACAGAGTAAAACTGTCTTAAAAAACAAAAGCACTTAGCACAGAGTCTAACACACAATATAACATCTGATAAACAATAAGGGTGTGATAAGCCATCATTAATTAATAATATATTTATATTTATATTAATCAACGAACACAATTATTACATTACTGTAGTATTTCATTATTTATTTATTTTGAGACAGAGTTTTGCTCTTGTTGCCCAGGCTGGAGTGCAATGGCGTGATCTTGGCTCACTTCACCCTCTGCCTCCAAAGTTCAAGCAATTCTGCCTCAGCCTCTCAAGTAGCTGGGATTACAGGCACATGCCACCACACCTGGCTAATTTTGTATTTTCAGTAGAGACAGGGTTCCACTATGTTGATCAGGCAGATCTCGAACTCCTGACCTCAGGTGATCCACCTGCCTCGGCCTCTCAAAGTGCTGGGATTACAGGCATGAGCCTCCACACCCAGTCTACTGTAATATTTTAAACCAAGTATATTATTGACAATGGAGTTATAGCCTGGTATCTTTTTTTTTTAATCTATAGCATTTAGTTATATTTGCTTATTTTATTTCATTTTATTTATTTATTTGTTTGTTTGTTTTGAGATAGAGTTTCGCTCTTGTTGCCCAGGCTGGAGTGCAATGGTGCAATCTCAGCTCACTGCAACTTCCACCTCCTAGGTTCAAGCGATTCTCCTGCCTCAGCCTCCTGAGTAGCTGGGATTACAGGCATGTGCCACCATGCCCAGCTAATTTTTGTATTTTCAGTAGAGATGAGGTTTCTCCATGTTGGTCAGGCTGGTCTCAAACTCCGGACCTCAGGTGATCGGCTCGCCTCAGCCACCCAAAGTGCTGGGATTATAGGTGGGAGCCACTGCACCTGGCTTTTTTTTTTTCTTCCTGAGACAGAGTCCTGCTCTGTCACCCAGGCTGGAGTGCAGTGGCAAAATCTTGGCTCACTGCAACCTCCACCTCCCAGGTTCAAGCAATTCTCCTGCTTCACCCTCCCAAATAGCTAGGATTAGCTCAGCTAATTTTTGTATTTTTAGTAGAGACAGGGTTTCATCATGTTGGCCAGGCTGGTCTCAAACTCCTGACCTGTGATCTGCCCACCTCGGCCTTCCAAAGTACTGGGATTACAGGCATAAGCCACCACACCCGGCCTGTTAATTTTATTGCAATCATTAATAAATACTTGTTAATATTTTTACATTTAATCAAGAACCTTCTCCATTAAGGTTCTTTCACAAAGTAAGATCACCAGAATCTTTTTTTTTTTCCCCTCTGGGACAGGGTCTTACTCTGTCACCCTGGCTGGAATGCTGTGGTGCAATCTCTCACTGCAACCTCCACCTCCCAGGTTCAAGAGATTCTTTTGCCTCAGCCTCCTGGCGTGCACCACCACACCAGGCTAATTTTTGTATTTTTAGAAGAGACTGGGTTTGGGCCATGTTGGCCAGGCTGGTCTTGAACTACTGACCTCAGGTCAGCCTACCAAAGTGCTAGGATTACAGGTGTTAACCACAGCACTTGGCCCCTGGGAACTTAGTGCATGCTGATAGACGTCCTAACTGGCAAATTGCCTGGTCCCATACCCCCATTTACGAGCAAAAAAACTGAGGCTTAGGGTGCCCAAGGCTATCCAGGGAATAATGACAACTGTGGGACTAGAAACTGGGTTGAAAGGTTCGGTAACTTCACACCGGCCAGAAATCTAGCCCAGAGAAATACTTGCAAATGCCAGGGCCTCCAGGGCCAGGCAGATAGTGTCAGTTGTGAAGAAGGAGGACTGTGATGCCGGGTGGGAGCACTGAGCAATGGCATCCTCATACCTGCTACAGACAGCCATTCATATTCACACTTTGAACAGGAGCTGTATGGACCAAACAAAAAAACAGCTGTGGGTCAGACTCAGCCAGCAGGCTGCCAGCTTTAACTTTGAGAGGGAGTGGCGGGCCTGGAGCGGGGAAGAAATTCCACAGATCTGGCTTCAGATCCTTGCACTGCCAGTTATTAGCTCTGTGACCTGGGGCAAATTATTCAGCCCCCCAAGACTCAGTTTCTTCATCTGTAAAATGGATTGTAATTCCACCTCCTACAATTGTTTGAGGAGTCAGTAAGATAATGAGGGTAGAGGATAGGCACAGTGGCTCACGCCTGTAACCCCAGCACATTAGGAGGCTGAGGCAGGTGGATCAATTGAGGCCAGAGGTTTAAACTGGCCAACATGGTGAAATCCCGTCTCTGCTAAAAATATAAAAATTAGCTGAGTGTGGTGGCGTACACCTGTAATCCCAGCTACTTGGGAGGCTGAGGCATTAGAATCACTTTAACCCAGGAGGTGGAGGTTGTAGTGAGCCAAGATCACATCACTGCACTGCAGCCGTGGTGACAGACGATGGGGGTAGAGTGCCAAGCAGGCATGGGCCCAGGTAATCAGGCAGCATGAGTGGTGGGGAAGTAATCGTGTCTGTGTAAAGCCCTTCTCTCTGGGTGTGTCCTTTGAACCCTGTCACAGTCCTGGGAAGTCAGCAAAGGCACACTCAGCATCCCATTTTGCAGATGAGGAAGCTGAGACCAGGAGAGGAAGAATGACTTGCCCAAGGTCACCCAGGCACCAGTGACAGCCTTTGAGTGAGTGTGGTTCTAGTGAACACTGGAGTGTTACAGGCATCCCTGTCCCCTTGGGCCACAGAGGAGTCTTCTCCTGGGCTTACTCTGCTCGTCCTACCCATGGCAGGGCCAGGGAGGCAGTGTTCCTCTCCCCTCATCCCCTGCGCATGCCCCTTGTCACTCACATAAGTCTGCAGCAGCGTTGACGTGTTCTTCTGCATGTAGAGGGCCAGGCTGTAGGCTTGACTAATGGGCTCAGCCGGGGAGACGGGGGCTGCCGAGCTGAGGGGTGGTGACAGCAGGGTCAGCAGGCAGAGGCGGGCTGGCAGAGGAAGCTGGAGGTCAGCACCATGGTCCCGACCCTGCCTCCAATTCATTCATTCATCTTTACAACTCCTGAAAAGGGCCCAGCCCTTGTGGGCTACCTCCATCTTGTCTATCCAAGTCAGTGACAAACCCCGTCTGCAGGTAGATCATCCTGGCCCAGAACACTCTGAACTCCAGGGTCATTGATTCAGCTAGTTGACATTTTCTTTTTTTTTCTTTTTGAGATGGAGTTTCACTGTTGTTTCCCGGGCTAGACTGCAGTGGTGCTGTCTCAGTTCACTGCAACTTCCACCTCCCAGGCTCAAGTGATTCTCCTGTGTCAACCTCACAAGTAGCTGGGATTACAGGCATGCCCCATCATGCCTGACTAATTTTGTATTTTTAATACAGACAAGATTTCTCCATGGTGATCAGGCTGGTCTCGAACTCCAGACCTCAGGTGATCCACTTGCCTCAGCCTCCCAAAATTCTGGGATTACAGGCATGAGCCACCACACCCGGCCAGCTACTGGACAGACATTTTCACTTGAATATTAGTAAGCATCTCAAACTCAAAATATCCAGGCTTTAATTCTGGAATATTCCCCCCAAGGCCCTCCTGTCTCAAGCTCCCCTGTCTCAGGTAAAGGCACTTCCATTCTTCTAGTTGCTCAGGCTAAAGCCATGGTGTGCAATTTGATGCTCCATTTTTTTCTTACTCTACACATCCAGTCCCACAGTAAATCCTGTTAATTCTATCCTTTAAAGGCAGACAGCACAAGTGTTGTCTTTTTTCCTTCTTTTAGAGATGGGGAGTTGGCCAGGCATGGTGGCTCATGATGGTAATCCTAGCACTTTGGGAGGCCAAGTGAAGCGGATCACCTGAGTTCAGGAGTTCGAGACCAGCCTGACCAACATGGAGAAAACCTGTCTCTATTAAAACTACAAAATTAGCAGGCTGCAGTGGCAGACACCTGTAATCCCAGCTACTCGGGAGGCTGAGGCAGGAGAATTGCTTGAACCCAGGAGGCAGAGGTTGCAGTGAGCTGAGATTGTACCACTGCACTCCAGCCTGGGCAACAAGAGCGAAACTCTATCTCAAAAAAAAAATAGAGATGGGGTTTTACTCTGTCACCAGGGCTGGAATACCGGGGTGTGATTATAACTCGCCACAGCCTCAAATTCCTGGATGCAGGGGATCCTCCTACCTCAGCCTCCCAAGTAGCTGGGACTACAGGCCCATGCCACCACACTTAGTTAATTTTCTTTTTTTTTTTGAGACAGAGTCTCATTCAGCCACCCAGGCTGGATGGAGTGCAGTAGTGTGATCTCGGCTCACTGCAGCCACCATCTTCCCAGTTCAAGTGATTCTCCCATATCGGCCTCTCAAGTAGCTGGGACTACAGGCACCTGCTTTCATGCCCGGCTGATTTTTCTATATTAGTAGAGACGAGGTTTCACCATTTTGGCCAGGCTGGTCTTGAACTCCTGACCTCAGGTGATCCGCCTGCCTCAGTCTCCCAAAGTGCTGGGATTACAGATGTGAGCCACTGCACCTGGCCAATTTTTAAAATCTTATGTAGAGACGGGTTCTCACTATGTTGCCCACACTGGTCTCCATCTCTTGGCCACAAGTAATCCTCCTGCCTCAGCCTCCCAAAGTGCTGGGATTACAGGCATGAGCACATGCCTGCATGCTTACCTTAAATGTGAATAGATGCTGCCAAATTGTCCTCTCGAAGATCTGGTCCAGTTTATGTTCCCACCAACAGTGTGAGGCTCGGAGAGGAGGAGAATGCCCTAAGGTCACCAGCCAGGAGCAATGGAGAAGAGAGGCAAACCCAGCGCAGCCTCCTTCATTCCCCTTTCCACATTCCTGAGTTCCCAGAGTTCAGAAGCAACTCAGAGAAGACTGGGAGGGAAGACCATTTCATTTCTTCATTTGACAAACTTGGGGTTTGCAGTGGTTTACACCTGTAATCCCAACATTTTGGGAGGATCGCTTGGGCCCCAGAGTTTGAGACCAGCCTGGACAACATAGAGAGATCACATCCGTACACAAAGGTTTTTTTAAAAAAAATTCTGGGTGCGGTGGCTAATGCCTCTAATCCCACCACTTTGGGAAGTCAAGGTGGGTGGATCACTTGAGGTCAGAGTTCGAGGCCAGCCTGGCCAACGTGGTGAAACCCTGTCTCTACTAAAAATATAAAAATTAGCCAGACGTGGTAGCGGGCACCTGCTACTCGGGAGGCTGAGGCAAGATAATAGCTTGAACCCAGGAGGTGGAGGTTACAGTGAGATGAGATTGTGTTACCACACACTGGCCTAGGCAACAGAGCAAAAACTCTGTCTCAAAAAAAAAAAAAAAAAAAAAACCTTAGAGTGACCTGGTGGCATACACCTGTAGTCTCAGCTACTCAGGAAGCTGAGGCAGGAGGACCGCTTGAGCCCTGGAGTCCAAGCCTGCAATGAGCAAAGATTCTGCCACTGGACTCCAGCCTGGGCCACAGAGCAAGACCCTGTCTCAAAAAACAAACCAACCACCACCACCAAAAAAAGCCACAGTTGGCTCACTGCACCACGGTCTGCCACACTAGCTTTAGATTTACTTATTAGTACATGTATTATGTGTCTGCAGGACGAAATTTCCAAGAGGCCATGAATTTTGTCTCTTTGTTCACTGCTGTCTCCCCAGATGCTTCAAACAGTACCTAGCACACGATAGGTACTCAAGAAATATTCGTCGAATGAATGATGAACGAAGCCTTGTGTGAGAGGATTTCCAGCAGGTGCAAAGACAGCCAGGCCCCTGAGTCACAGAGAGGAGGGGCTGTCTGGGTCCCCCCTCCTGTGTCTCTGGGGCCTGGTGCCCCTGCCCTTCACTCACCCAGTGGACACCTCATGTTCTCTCCTTGGCTCCTTCCTCTCTGCAGCCTCTGGGTCTTTCAGGACACCTGACCTCCTGCCCCTCAGGTGTCTTTATACTTGGGGCTGAGCCCTGGGGCCGCCCAAGAGAGAGGGAGTCACACCCTGGGGAGGGGGGCAGGATTGGGCAGGGCCCTGGCAAAGAATGAGAGAAAGACCTGGCCACTGGATAGGACAGGGAGCCAGTGGGAGGACCCGGATGGGGGGCACATGTTCCACACAGGAGGTCTGGGACTGGGAAGCGGAAGCCCCAGAGGCAGGAAATAGGTAGGGAAGGGGGCACGGAGGGGACACCCAGGCCCCTCCAGCTCCCAAATTCGACCCTAAACCCTAGTGGCTGTGAGGGCGGGGGCAAGGGCGGGATGGGGATTATCTGGGGACAAAGGGGCCGCCCTGCTCCCTGCTGTTCTGCACGTCCTGGGATCCAGTTTCCCAGAGGAGGCCACCCCCTGCTCCGCCCCATAGGGACCCAGGTACTTGGCGCAGGCTCCCAAGTTTGAAAAGGGACAGGAGGGTGGAGTGTGACATCGTCCACACATGGGTGCATCCTTAGGCATAGCAACATTCACAGGTCTACACATGCATTGGCACGAGGGCACACACAGGCACAAGCACACACTTTCATGTGCACATTCATTCAGTGATTGGGGCCCTTAACTGTGCACCAGTCCCTGTTTTAAGTGTGGGGACAGAGCATGGAACAAGACAGACAAAAATCCATGCCCTCATGGAGCTGAAATTTTAGCAGGCATGGCTACATGCATGTGGGATTCTGCCAGGCTTACACACGTCACACAGAGTCCCAGATGCACGCATGCACACAGACAGGGGAACTCGTATTGCACCCCTGGGGGCCTAGCCAGAGGCACCTGCACAGAACAGACATGGGACACGTGCCTCATGCCCACACATGCGCACAGACGCACACAGAGCCGGGGGCCAGCAGTCCTGGGATCTGGCCACGTCTCAGCCTCTGATATACTAAGAGATCTCATCCCTCTGCCCAGGCACAACACACTCAGATACGCACACACACCTGAGGCACTGTCCCTCGGGAAAGCCTTGCAGCAAAGGGGCAGGGTCCGAGAGACACGCTGGGTCCTGGTCTCACTCCAGTGCTTCCCTAAACTCTCCATCATGGAACAAATGTTCAGTTCTCATCCCCTGCCCACCCCCTGAGTCAGGCAGTGATCAGTCAGACTCCGATCCTAGCGGGCTGGAATCCTGTTCCATCCTAGCTCCCCTGGTCAGGTGGTGACCTGGAGGCAGAGGGGCCCGCATGGCCACTCAACAGGTGTTTTTTCTTGTTTGTTTTGAGATGGAGCCTCACTCTGTCGCCCGGGTTGGAGTTCAGTGGCACCATCTCAGCTCACTGCAACCTCCACCTCCTGGGTTCAAGCGATTCTCCTGCCTCAGCCTCCTGTGTTGCTGAGATTACAGGTGCCCAACACCATGCCCGGCTAATTTTTGTATTTTTAGTATAGACAGGGTTTCACTATCTTAACCAGGCTGGTCTTGAACTCCCGACCCCAGATGATCAGCCTGCCTTGGCTTCCCAAAGTGCTGGTATTACAGGTATGAGCCACCATGCTGGGCCCAACAGATGTTTTTTGAGATACAGGGCCTTGCTCTGTTGCCCAGGCTGGAGTGCAGTGGCACCATCATAGCTCACTGCAGCCTCCACCTCCCAGGCTCAAGTGATCCTCCCACTTTAACCTTTCAAAGTGTTGGGATTACAGGTATAAGCCACTGCACCTGGACCCAGTAGGTATTAAGAGAACACCTACTGTGTGCCAGCACCAGGGTGGATAAGGCAGGTAAAGTCCTTGTCTCACAGGCACACAGTCCAGTGGGGGAGAACATCAAGAAACATATGAATGAACAAACACCAAGTTTTCCTAAAATGATATGGTGCTGAAAAGAAGCCCAGACAGGTTGATGTGATGAGCTGGGGGTTGGGAAGACTTAGATAAGGAGCCTGAGGCCCAGAAAGGGGCAGCTACTTACCTGGCATCACACAGCAGAGCCAGGGCAGAAGCTAGGTTCCTGTCTCCAGATTGGGGCTGCCTGTGGGATTCCAGATCTGAACGGTGAGCTGAAGGAAGGTGGGAGGAGGTTGAGGGAAAAGATGGGTTCTCAGGTGAGGGGTCCTAAACAGGTTCTCCAAGTCTGGGGCCTGCCAGGGCTGGCAGGCAGTGATGTCAGGGGATTATAGGAGGCCCATAGAGTCGGTGCATGGAGGCGTGGGCCAGGCCATGGTAGTGGAGTAGGGGAAAGAGGAGGGGCAGGAGCGGGAGAGCGAGGCAGATACTTGATCTGGAGCAATTCACAGGTGGATGGCATACGTGGGGCAGCCTACCACCACCCACCTTTCTCTGGGGCTTCTGTTTCTTTCTCTCTCCCCATCAAGGTGTTTTTTGTTTTGTTTTGTTTTGTTTTGTTTTGATATGGAGCCTCTGTCACCCAAGCTAGAGTACTGTGGTGCAATCTTGGCTCATGCAACCTCCACCTCCTGGGTTTAAGCAAGTCTCCTGCCTCAGCCTGCTGAGTAGCTAGGATTACAGGCATGTGCCATCACACCCGGCTAATTTTTGTATTTTTAATAGAGACGGGGTTTCACCATGTTGGCCTGGCTGATCACAAACTCCTGACCTCAAGTGATTTCCCCACCTCAGCAAGTGCTGGGATTACAGGTTTGAGCCACCATGCCCAGCCCCCCAGGTGTTCTTCACAGCTGGAGTAATTAGCCTCAACTCAGGCCCAGCTTTGTTGTTCAAGGCATGTGTCTCAGCAGAGGTCTGCAGCTCTGCCCCCTCTATCCCCATTGTGCCCCACCCTGCAGGTCAACTTGTCTCCATCTATGTTTTGATCACACCAGAAACTGATACCTTGGGAATCCAGCAATTTAGGAGGCAGCAGGCTTTGGTTCAAGTCCTGCCTTTGTTCAATTTTTTTTTTTTTTTTTTGAGATGGAGTCCTGCCCAATTGCCAGGCTAGAGTGCAGTGGCCTGACCTCGGCTCACTGCAACCTCCACTTCCCGGTTAAAGTGATTCTCCTGCCTCAGCCTGCCCAGTAGCTGGTATTACAGGTGCATGCCACTATGCCTGGCTAATTTTTGTATTTTTAGTTAGAGACCAGGTTTCACCATGTGGGTCAGGATGGTCTCGATCTTCTGACCTCATAATCTGCCTGCCTCAGCCTCCCAAAGTGCTGGGATTGTGCTAGGATTGCAGGTGTGAGCCACTGTGCCCGGCCTTTTTTTTTCTTTTGAGAGGGAGTTTCATTCTCGTTGCCCAGGCTGGAGTGCAATGGCACAATTTTGGCTCACCACAACCTCTGCCTCCTGGGTTCAAGTGATTCTCCTGCCTCAGCCTCTTGAGTAGCTGGGATTACAGGCATGTGCCACCATGCCTGACAATTTTGTATTTTTAGTGGAGACAGGGTTTCTCCATGTTGGCCAGGCTGGTCTCAAACTCCCGACCCCTCAGATGATCTGCCCACCTTGGCCTCCCAAAGTGCTGGGATTGAGTCACCACATCCAGCCTCATCTTTTTTTTTTTTTTTTTTTTTTAAGACAGAGTCTCGGCCAGGCGCAGTGGCTCACGCCTGTAATCCCAGCACTTTCGGAGGCCAAGGAGGGTGGATCATGAGGTCAACAGATCGAGACCATCCTGGTCAACATGGTGAAACCCCGTCTCTACTAAAAATACAAAAAATTAGCTGAGCATGGTGGTGCGTGCCTGTAATCCCAGCTACTCAGGAGGCTGAAGCAGGAGAATTGCCTGAACCCAGGAGGCGGAGGTTGCCGTGAGCCGAGATCGCACCATTACACTCCAGCCTGCGTAACAAGAGCAAAACTCCGTCTCAAAAAAAAAAAAGAGAGACAGAGTCTCACTCTGTTGCCCAGGCTAGAGTGCAGTGGCATCATCTTGTTGCTCAGGCTAGAGTGCAGTGGCATCATCTTGGCTCACTGCAACCTCTGCCTCCCGAGTTTAAGGGATTTTCATGCCTCAGCCTCCCAAGTAGCTCAGATTACAGGTATGTGTTACCATGCCCAGTTAATTTTTTGTATTTTTAGTAGAGACAGGATTCTGCCATGTTGCTCAGGCTGGTCTTGAACTCCTGGTCTCAAGCAATCTGCCTGCCTCAGCCTCCCAAAGTGCTGTGATTACAAGCATGAGCCACTGTGCCCAGACCCTGCCTTTGTTCTTCGCTAGCTTGGACACGTTCCTTAACTTCTCTGAGCCTTAGTTTTCTCCCTTGTCTAGAAACTGGAATAATAATTCCCATGCATGGGTTTTCACTGATTCCACCCACCAAGTGTCCTGACCCCTACTATGAGGCCCCTCCTGGGCCTGTTAAGCGTTGCACCAGTAACACATAATGCCCTCAACCAATGGCAAAGGCTCAATGTCCCATGAGCCTATGCCTGGAGCCCAACCCCACGCCCCTCCCCCCACCCAGTGGCACATGCGCTCCCAAAGAGATCTGGTGCCTTTGCTCAAGCATGACCCAGTGTCATCCAGAAAACCACACAGTGGGGCCCATTCAGAACAGTGGCAAGGGCGCAGTGGCTCACGCCTGTAATCTCAGCACTTTGGGAGGCTAAGGCGAGGGGACTGCTTGAGGCCAGTTCAAGACCGGCCCGGGTAACATAGTGAGACCCTTGTCTCTACAAAAAATACAAAAATTAGCCAGGCAAGATGGTGTGCACCTGTAGCTCCTGCTACTCGGGAGGCTGAGATGGGATAATTGCTTGAGCCTGGGAGGTCAAGGCTGCAGTGAGCTGTGATTGTGCCACTGCACTCCAGCCTGGGTGACAGAGTGAGATCCTGTTATTTCTTTTTATTACAGGCTGAGTGGGGTGGCTCGCACCTGTAATCCCAGCACTTTGGAAGGCCAAGGTGGGCAGATCACGGGGTTAGGAGTTCAAGACCAGTCTGGCCAACACGATGAAACCCCGTCTCCACTAAAAATACAAAAATTAGCTGGGCGTGGTGGTGCATGCCTGTAATATCAGCTACTCAGGAGGCGGTGGCAAGAGAATTGCTTGAACCCAGGAGGCGGAGGTTGCAGTGAGCTGAGATCAAACCACTACACTCCAGCCTGAGAGGCAGAGTGAGACTCCGTCTCAAAAAAGTGGCTCACGCCTATAATACCCAGTACTTTGGGAGGTTGAGGCGGGCAAATCGCAAGGTCAGGAGTTCGAGACAAGCATGGTCAACATGGTGAAACCCTGTCTCTACAAAAATAAATACAAAAATTAGCTGGGCATGGTGGTGTGTGCCTGTAATCCCAGCTACTTGGGAGGCTGAGGCAGGAGAATTGCTTGAACTTGGGAGGCAGAGGTTGCAGTGAGCTGAGATCGTGCCACTACACTCCAGCCTGGGTGACAAAGCAAGACTCCTTCAAAAAAAAAGGTATTTAAGAAAAAGATTAAAAACTTTATCATTATTTTTTAAATACCTGCTCATTAAAAAAATTGAAGCAAATCATAAATGAACAAAGAAGACACCAGCAACACACCCTATTTCACCACCCAGAAGTAACTATGACTGTGTTAACATTTAGTGAAGGTTGTTCCAGACATTTGATCAGATACATAGAAAAAGATTTTATGACAATCAATTAATACTACATATCCTATTTTTAAAATTATGTTTAACTTTATTTTAACAAAAAGAACACAAATAGAAATTTAACTGAAAGAACTGTGGAACTTCACATAAATGTCTCTTTGCTATCAAAAATATTTCCTGTTAAGATTCTTCCAAGTTTAAGAAAAAGGATTTGAAAACCACGAGGGATTAATTCATTTTTAATTATTTTATTTTTAAAAATTTTTATTTGTTTTTGGCTGGCTTTAGCTCAGCAGTTACTTCCACAGTAGTTTCTATGGTGGAAAACAACCACTCTGCGTGGTTCGAGACCCAAGGGCGCTCTCCAGCCCTTTAAAAAAAAAAAAAGGCCGGGCTCAGTGGCTCACACCTGTAATCCCAGCACTCTGGAAGGCCGAGGAGGGCGGATCACCTGAGGTCGGGAGTTCAAGACCAGCCTGACCAACATGGTGAAACCCTGTCTTAAAAAATAATAATAATAAATATATATTCTATTTGTTTTTGAGACAGAGTCTCATTTTGTCGCCCAGGCTGGAGTGCAGTGGCACAATCTTGGCTCACTGCAAACTCTGCCTCCCGGGTTCAAGCAATTTTCCTACCTTGGCCTCCAGAGTAGCTGGAATTACAGGCGCCTGCCACCACACCCAACTAATTTTTGTATTTTTAGTAGAGGTTTTCACCATGTTGGCCAGGCTGGTCACAAACTTATGACTTCAGGTGATCTGCCCACCTTTGCCTCCCAAAGTGCTGGGATTACAGGGTTAGGGTTAGGGGTGAGCCCAGTCCCCCATGGTGTTCTTCACATCTGGAGGAATTAGCCTCACTCCAGGCCCAGCTCTGTTGTTCAAAGCATCTGTTTCCACAGAGGTCAGAGGTCTGTAGCCCTGCCCCCTTTACCCCCATCATGCCCCACCCTGCAGGTCAACTTGTCTCCATCTCTGTTTTGGTCACAGAAGAAGCTGATATCTTGGGAATCCCAGGAATCTGGCAGGCAGTGGGCTTTGGTTCAAGTCCTGCCTTTGTTCATCTCTTTTTTTTATTCTTGAGATGGAATCTCGCTCAGGCTGGAGTGCAGTGGCTCGATCTCAGCTCACTGAAACCTCTGCCTCCCAGGTTCAAGCAATCCCCTGCCTCAGCCTTCTGAGCAGCTGGGACTACAGGCACGCTACTACCACGCCCAGCTAATTTTTTTTTTTTTCTTTGCATTTTAGTAGAGACGGGGTTTCACCATGTTGGCCAGGATGGTCTCCATCTCCTGACCTCGTGATCTGCCTGCCTCAGCCTCCCAAAGTGCTGGGATTACAGGTGTGAGCCACCATCACCCTGCCTATATTTTTTATTTTTAGAGATGAGGTCTCCTTCTCTTGCCCAGGCTGGAATGCAGTGGCTCAATCATGGCTCGCTGCAGCCTTGACTTCCCAGGCTCAAGTGATTCTCCCACCCCGGCCTCCAGAGTAGCTGGGTCTACAGGCAAGCACCACCATACTGATTGATTTTTGAAAAATTCTGACAGTAGAAACCCAGCTATTGGCCTAGTGTGGAGGCTCAAGCCTATAATCCCAGCACTTCCAGAGGTTGAAGATCACTTGAGCCCTGGAGGTTAAGGCTGCATTGAACTATGACTGCACCACTTCACTCCAGCCTGGGCAACAGAGCAACACCTTGTCTAAAAAAGAAACTAGCCGGGCGCGGTGGCTCACTCCTGTAATCCCAACACTTTGGGAGGCCGAGGCGGGTCAACAGATCGAGACCATCCTGGTCAACATGGTGAAACCCTGTCTCTACTAAAAATACAAAAAAAAATTAGCTGGGCACGGTGGCGCATTCCTGTAATCCCAGCTACTCAGGAGGCTGAGGCAGGAGAATTGCCTGAACCCAGGAGGCCGAGGTTGCCGTAAGCCGAGATCCTGCCATTGCACTCCAGCCTGGGTGAGGAGAGTGAAACTCTGTCTCAAAAAAAAGAAAGAAACTAAACCCAAACCCAGCTATTAATGCCATCCATTCCCCCAGGATCACTGGCCAGTGAGGTCTACTAATACACTCCTCAGCCATCTGAAGCCATACACACTGCTGGGACCTTCACTTCTGGGGTTTTCAGTAACCAGATCCATGCAGCTTAGGGAGCTTGGCTTTTTGGTGATTGCTGATCCCAAGGCTGACCCTAAGCTTCTCACAGAGACATTTTCTGTTCACTCGCCTACCTTGGTCAGTGTCAATCAGACTCCTCTCTGTTCTATATGGATGTTGCCATCCCACATAAGAAGAGTTCAATTATTGGTTGTCTTACAGTGGGTGGTATTCCAGAAAAAGCCTCCGTCAGGTGGCACTAACTTCCCCTGGGACCCAGAGGATGCCGTGCTTGTCATAAGGGCTGTCCACAAGTTTTCTAGTTCTTCTCCTTCCAAGCATGTGTCAAGAGTCGGCTTCTCTTAACCCTTGAATTAGCTATCTTGGCTCACTGTAACCTCTACCTCCCAAGTTCAAGCAATTCTCCTGCCTCAGCCTCCTGAGTAGCTGGGACTACAGGCGTGTGCCACCATGCCCGACTAATTTTTGTATTTTTTAAGTAGAGATGGGGTTTCACCATATTGGCCAGGCTGGTCTGGAACTCCTGACCTCGTGATCCACCCACCTCGGTCTCCCAAAGTGCTGTGATAACAGTCATGAGTCATCGCGCCCAGCCTTTTAAAAAATGTTTTGTTGGCCAGGCGCGGTGGCTCACGCCTGCAATCCCAGCACTTTGGGAGGCTGAGGTGGGTGGATCACGAGGTCAAGACATCAAGGCCATCCTGGTCAACATGGTGAAACCCTGTTCTACTAAAAATACAAAAAATTAGCTGGGCATGGTGGCGCATGCCTGTAATCCCAGCTACTCAGGAGGCTGAGGCAGGAGAATTGCCTGAACCCAGGAGGCGGAAGTTGCAGTGAGCCGAGATCCCGCCATTACACTCCAGCCTGGGTAACAAGAGTGAAACTCCGTCTCAAAAAAAAAATTAAAAAAAAAAAAAAGTTTTGTTGTTGTTTTGTTTTGAAATGGAGTCTCCCTCTGTCGTCCAGGCTGAAGTTCAGTGGCGCGATCTCGGCTCACTGCAACCTCCACCTCCTGGGTTCAAGTAATTCTCTGCCTCAACCTCCCTCGTAGTTGGGATTACAGGTACCCACCACCATGCCCAGCTAATTTTTTTTGGTATTTTTAGTAGGGAGTTTCACCATCTTGGCCAGGCAGGTCTGGAACTCCTGACCTCTTGATCCACCCTCCTTGGCCTCCCAAAGTGCTGGGATTACAAATG